TGTTGTAAAACCGGGTAAAACCACTTATGGTGTTAGCGATTTTGCCTATGAACAGTGTAAAAGTATGCTATCAAGTTTGCCACTAGATAGAGATAAACTTGTGTTTTTTCTTGTTTGTCGAAGGAGAATAAGTTTGGTGATCCTCGGTGTTTTACAATTAATTTAGTTGTTCCTATCTCCATCCAAACTCATGTCTCCTCTTAAGTGTTTATCTTAGATTCTTATAGTTAAGAATAGAGTTAAGGTAACTAAGGTTACTTTTCATTGAATTATTTCTTTGGGATGAGTCGGCAGGCATATAGTTTAATGTGAACACACACGTTGCTGATAAAATCACTGAATCATCATGCTAAGATTATTAGATGAAGTAAAAGGTTGTGTGATACCCGATACTCTCTATTAGGATGTATACTTGTTTGGGATTAATATATTTATTGGTTTATGATATAAAAAATACCTGATTTCTTCTTTCAAAAAAATAAAAAAACCTGATTTCAATTGGCTACCTGTTGGATTTTGATATAAGCAACATGATGTATTATTGTACAAAAATGAAAGTTGAATTGATATCCTACATACCTACTCCTGATGTCAACCATTCAAAGCTGTGAGACTCACAATTCAAAATAAAAGAACATATCTCATGATTCTCTTCTTCATTTATGTAAGATAAAAGAACATACGATACGTTATATAGAAACATGTAGGTATGATGAAACAGTCATTGATTGAGAGCATAACGTACATTATGCTCTTGGGTGTATGCACCTAACGATTGGCACAAGAGGCTTGATAGAGATTCTAAAGATGAACATGGTGGAAATGAGAGTCAGGGCCTCCCATGGTCCTTAATCAGAATTGGATGATCTACATAGAGAACTCTGGGAAACAAGTTATGCTCCCTTCAAGTTAAAATTTTAAGCCACATTTGACCTTTTTGGTAATGATTATGTGAACTTTGATTACTGTTTGGCTATTTTCTATAAGTCATAGTAATCTTATGAACTTATATATTGTGGTTTATCTATTGATGGTATTTTGAGATTCATATTAATGTTCAAGCAAGTGAGGGTGGATATCATAGAGACAAATACCATCGATATTAATGTTAAATTTCTTATCTTTTGATTAGTCTTTGTCATGGTTTGCTTGGGAAGGTGAAAAATATTTGTAAAAACTCGTTGAAGATGGGGGTAAAAGAAGTTTGTTTGGAAGGTGAAAAATATTTCTAGATGCTTAGTGATTAAAGATGGGGGTAAAAGACATTAAAGCCTATGGTGAAGGGTAGAGGGTATCATGGATAATGTCAAGCAATGCATTTGGTGGTATATATGAAGTTTTCCCTACTTGATTGCAAAAGCAAAGATGATCTAGGTACCTCAAAATTTTGAAATGGTCATGGAAAGGGTTTAAATTCTTAACTCAAGTACATTCATTTCACTCACTTATAAGGCCATTCCTTGCAAGGGAGGGACCTTTCTTTTGCATAAGGGAGCATAGACCTTGAATATGTGTCAAGGAAGAGCACAATAGCTTAATAGGGATTTTGAGTCTACGAGGTTATGGGGGCATCAGGGAGACAATATTAACTTGGCAGCTAAAATATTATCACATCTCATCACAACCTTGCTAGCAGCATAGGTCATGCACATTTTATATTGCTATCTCTTTAGAATACATTGTTCGGCATGCAGCTAGCATGGCTATGTCGGTGATTCAACACTAATTTTGAAAAATTTGTGTCAGAGTTGATGGTTATAATTCCAATTTATGTCGTTTTAAACTTCCATAAGTCTCTTGTGATGTTTGTTAAGACTTTTGGTCGTAAGTTTGCACAGTACAAATATTCATGTAAAGATTGCTGGTAGATGAAAACAAATTGTAGAGAAGACTAATTTGAGATATTTGTCTAAGGTTTCTGATTCTTATTAGGAGCGAGGTGAGGTTTTTAGGGCCTTCTTATCTTTATGCGAGTAATATCACATTCCTCTATTTAAGAACCTTGTCATGTATCTTAGTTTAGGATATCACATAAATTATCGATAACCAGATTGCACAGCTGATAAAATCATATGAACTGCTTCTTTACCTGATGTCTCTTGTTGAACTTTTTATTTTTTATTGATGTTATTGAATATTTGTTATTATTTTGCAGCTGGAATGCTTTGCACAGGAGAAAAAACAAAAGTAGCAGCACTAGAGGAAAACATGGAGGCATATTTCAATGTGTTGCAGGGTCTTCTTTTGCTTGCCTATGGAAGCACAGTGGGTGCAGGACCAACTCTATCATCAAATATTCACGCGTCAATAAAACAAGTTGTCGATTGCAGTTTCTTGCTATGGAGAGAATGTGTTGCTAGCTATGGTACTATTCTTTTCTCCCCTTCTTTTCCATGTTTATATTCTTATTCACTGTCGTGCATTTCTAATTATGGTTCCTATTGGAGATATAGCTATTATATTCTTTATGTATCTTACAATTGACTATATATGTTTATCATTGGCATAATAGATTATGGAATGAGGCCATGGGAGTACATGTAGGCGAGGTTATAGCCAATTATATGTCTTGATCATGTCTTATCATGTTCAGGCATGCCTTATTAAGAAATTCTTGCATTAATATAGAGAGATTGAGGTAGGGTTTTTTATGGCATATGGGGTGACTTTTATGGATAACCTTTTGGTAAAGCATGCCTTTTGATAGGATATGGGTGAGTTTGAACGGTGTGTGAATTGACTTGGAAAGTCTTGTTTTTACACTAGTCTTAAATATGAATTACCAGTATGATGTGGGGGTGATTATGCTAAGGATTTTTTTTTATTATTTTATTTTATATAGTACACTGGAATTATAAAATAATTATATAGCCTCTTTGATTAGGTTTCCAATATTTTACAGAGTTGCAAAATTTTGATGAATATGTTTTTGGAATAGAGGCTCTCGGACACAATATAGCAGTGCAGCATTCTGTAAATCTACATCGAGAGTGTCAAATATATCTAGGAATTGACAATAGTATTGGCAGGATTAAAAGACAAGGCTAGAGAGAGAGAGAGAGAGAGGGATTAAAAAGAGAGTAACGGATTAAAAAGGAATATAAGGAATATAAGGTTACTATATAATATAATTGAGCTCCACAAAGTGGGCTTGTAGTTAATTAAAAAGGAATATAAGGTTACTATATAAGGATTAAAGTAAAAGTGGGTAGAACTTTGAAAAATGGATGAAAATGGAAAGTGAGTAGAAGTTAGGAAAACGGAGGGAATATGAAAGCTTCTACTGGTGACTGGATAATATGTGAAAAATATGTGCAAATTTATTCAATTCTAATTAGGTATAATAGGGACAGAACTATTCTAAGTTTGCATCTTTCCTCATTACCCTCGTCGCTTCTTCAATTCTAAAGTTATCATGTCTTGTGCTGTTGAAAGAGATTATGCTTTTAATTACATTGTTTAACACAAAAGAACTTGGTAATCCCATGGAAAAATCTCCCTGTAAGAATACTTTTCCTCAAGGAATGATCAGTGATGCTGTAATTGCAGCTTTTGTGTTCCTGATGAATTTCATGATTTGCAAAAAGAACCAGTGAATATTATGGCTAACAACCCCTCTCCATTTGTCAAGGTTGCTCAGCAATGAGACTAGATCTTGTGATGCTTATATTAGGGGGGAAAGAAAAAAAAAAGGCTACTCAATTAGCCCTCTTTTTTACCTGACACTTGATTGGTTAAATTAAACAATTCCTTGCACTGCTTCCCGCATGAATTGCAAATAAATGCTATGGCTAACTTCCTACTCTACAAATACTCCGGCCCTCCCCCTCTCTTTCATTTGACAGAGTGCCCATTTTAGCAACTCTTTTCTACTAGTTCATTGTGAAACTATCCCCGAAGCCATAGTATATATTGAATGTCCAATCAAGTAAGTTTTAGGTGAGACATTTCATGGACTTGGTTTTTAAGTCTCTGTATTATTGCAGCTTCTGTTATCCTATAGATCCAACTGCCAATTTGTTTGAGTTATTGGCAATGTTGTATGGTTATTTAATGTTAGATTTATGATACCAATTAAATGATCCTGGGGATTTTTTTTTTAAAATATAATTATTCATTGCCACCAGGACCTCGCAGTAGTGAGAAGAAGTGCACTATTCCTCAATTAGCTGGCACCGTCTGGGAAGCATGTTCCGCTCTCAAGAAAACTCCTGCGACAAATATAGTTGCAATAGGGCGCGCGATGACACAGGTTGCTGTTTCCATGAAGGACGTGTTACGTGAAATGAATGAGCTTGAACCATGTTCATCTGATCCAACCAGTGAAGCAGAGAGTCAAACTTCTGATGTTGATGCTGATGCTGATGATGAGTTCGGTAAAGACCTGTCACCTGAAGAGATGAAAGTCGCTCAATTAGCAATTGGAGTTGTGTCAGAAGCAGTTATTGTCATCAAGGAACTTATACGATGCATTACTGGTTTGCTTAAGAAGGAATCTCTTAAAGATGAGAATGACGGGGTTGAGTCCTTGGAAAAGCTATTGAAGCTTTGTCGTAGCATTGGGGTTCAGGTGGATGAGCTTGGAGCTTGTTTATATCCACCACAAGAATTCTCAGCAATAGCTAAATCATGCAAAGAATTATCTGATTTGATAGATGAAGTGGGTAAAGAATTGGACTGTTTAAATGGCTCTACAGAAGCTTTTTCGGAGAGATGCAACGCATTGAAGACTGCCTTGGGAAATTTGGAAGCAGAAATTTCTGATTCTTTTGCTACTAATGCAGTTCTGCAAAATTCCAATGGATTGGATGTGGTAGAACAAATGCAGAATCTAGCTGTATAAGATAGTTGATCTTTTTTTCTCCCTATTAGCTCATATTGCCACTCGTGGTGAGTTGTTTTAACCACACCCCCCCCCCCCCAAAAAAAAAAAAAAAAAAAAAAGAGAAGAAACAAATTGATTATGAACATACTGGTACAAATTTGTGCAACTGATTGTGTGGTATTTGAATGTCAGTATGACATGTAATTTTTCGCCCAAAAAAGTCTTATAGAATAATCCATGATTTCCATCTCATATCTAAGGACAATCATGATACATGGAGTGTATAAACTATACAAAATTAATAACAAACTATTGGCAAAAGCCATTAATGTCTTATTGTTAAAACTAGCGCCCTATGGCCTTCACAGCCCAGGCGCCACCAAGGTAAAGCCCTAAAAGTGGCCCTGCTAGAAGCATTTGGGTCAATGGATCAGTTGATGGTGTCAGCACTGCAGCAGCGACAACAGCACCTACCACAACATATCTCCAAATTGACAGCATTTGATCTCCAGAAACCAAACCCGTTTGTCCCAGCAAAAGTTGTATGACTGGAACCTGTGAGTACCATGAAAGATCATAAATACCTGCTCTGTGCATAAAGTAAAAGCAAAGAAAGATTTCACATCCACAAAACACCATGATTAAACTAACTGCCATCACCACAATATCCTGCTCAGAAACTTGCTTGCCACAAGGTTTGGCAAAACCTTTTTTTTTTTGAGACAATTTGGCATAGCCTGCATGTACACAAACCTCACCTTGGCTCACAAACCTAAAACAATTTCCAAAAGTCCTCACTGCATGGGCTATCTCCAAGAGGCTCACCTAAGCAATTAAGAAACCCACTCTAGCTTTCACATCCACTAAATTACCAAGCTTTCCAAGAGCATCCAAGTCAAGATTAATTCTTCCTCGGCTACACTATATATATATATAAAATAAAATAAAAAAACCAGCTAATTTATAATCCTGAAAGTAACTTAGATATTTTCAATGACCACCTTAGAGCCATCAAGATTAACATCTACTTCTTCCATTCTTTTTTACTCGACCCGTTTTGACTTTTACACTATTCACCACTCCACCTTTGACCATCTTTTGTGAATTATATGTAAGGAAAAACATGTTCATGTGAGATCTTGTTAGAATTGTCAAAATAAGTACTATCACAATATATAACTTTTATAATTTTTACTTACAGAGAATTAAAAGTATTGATGGTTAAAGTTGTGCATCGACAAGTGTGATAAAAGAAACAGGTCAAATAAAAAAGAACGGAGGAAGTATATTAAGAGTAGTATTATTTATGTGTTGTACAAGGGATGCATAGATTGCCTTCCTCCTCAATCCCCACCTTCAAAACTCTACATGCTCCCTTCAACACCCTCTCAATAATCATCATACCAGAAACTGTAAAGAAAACTTAACAGAAGTTCCATGAAGAAGGAAACCACTTGCTAAGAAGCATCAATTGGTATCACAGACAGATACGCATGGGACAAACAACTTCTAACCCTAATAATTACCACCCCATAAATCCCTTCCTATGTGATAGGAAGTCTAGAAAACCACTGGTGTAACACTCATAAGCCTTTTCAAACTTTAACAACACAACCAACCTACATGCCTTTTTCATTTAAGCCTCTGGAAGGATTTGAATCCCCACCACAAAAGCACACTGAACTATGAAATGGTGTAAGAAAGCACTTCCCCCAATCAGTTAGCAAACAATAATTTCTTAAGAATCTTATAAGCACAGGCAACTAAATTGCTCTACAAATGATCCCTTACCATAATAGATGGATGTTTCTTTGGAAAACAAAAAGGAAAAAAAAAAAAAAACTCATGTTTATTCCAATAACTTTAGTCTGATAAAATTCCTTGAAAGGTTATCCTTATTGATGTCCTACAATCTTAGAGATGTGCTACTATAAATTCATCCAGTGCTGGCGTGACACTTATACTTGTTCATATTTTAAACAGCCTAACTCACCTCATCCTTAGTTGCTCTCACCAATCACTTTACACCTCATCAGGAAATCTCTAATCCTTTTCTTAATCATTTGCCAACAAACTCAGGAGCTAAGCATAGAAATATGCCTATAGCTAGCATGAATCATGTTTTTGGGCTGGAACTTGATTCTAGTGAAAGTGCAAAATCAACCTATTCCTTTCATTTCCTAAGCTGGTTCTTCCAAATGCTCTGGCATCTATAATTTATTGGTGGATCTACAATGAGTATACACAAGTCCCACATCCCCGCCATGAATCACTATCATTACATTTAGACTGCCAGCAATTGGGATAACTGCAGGAAATCTTTTTCCAAAATTAAACAGAACACAGTATTTAAAGAAAACAGTAGCATTCCACATTTATTTACCACCAGGAATAGCATAACTATCTCTACCTTCAAGCCTACCCAAAGAACATAAACAAGCCACTTTCCCTCCATTAGTACTTTCTATAATTGTCTGCCACAGCTTCTTTAAATGTCTATTCTTAGCACCCTACTTTCTTAACTAGGTGAAATTCACTTTAAAAGGAAATTTATGTGATCACATTTAACACCCTAAAGTAGCTAAACATGAAAAAAAAACTGAAACTATAAATTCAGAAATCGTCATAACATGCTATTTTGTATGAACACGCTATTAGTATTATGTTATCTTATTTAGTCATTCATAGTCACACTAATTAGCTTACAAAAAATTGACATTTATAGTTAATTATTATGAATCTTGAAGTGTGTGACAAATATATTCAAACACAAGACTCATGAAATTATAAACTTTTAGTCAATATCCTAACTTTTAGATAACCATGTACAGAGTAACAATTAAACTAGGTAAAAAGACAATTATGCTGCATTTTGCAAATAAACAAAAATGATTCAGGTGCTGCTTGTTGAATCTTACATCTAAAATTATTATATGCATTAGCTAATTGCGCTTATGAATTCAGATGTTTACCGGAAACTATTTTGCCTCTTATACTGATGATTTTCATTATTGTTTATATTTTGTCCCAAACAAAAGAAATATTATTTACAAAAATGTCAACAGACAACTATTAACTCCTCATGTAGTCCAGTGGACAAAGAGCCAGTACATCAACAAGTCTTTCAAACATATTTTAAAAGCATCACAAGCCTTGTCAGAAGGAAGAAATCATTCCCAGTCAACTCCATTCAATGGTATTCAGAAGTTAGTATAATTGTACAGATAAAGTCCAAGAAACATTACCTGGAAAGACAAGCCAGTGCTGAACATCAGGATAAGAACAAATTCGAAATATTGATCAATCGACCAAAGTGATTCAACAGCTCCTTCCGCATAATTTACAAAGAAGTTCAATGCTGCCGGAGTGAGAACAAGATAGGAGAAGGTAATACCAGCATAGAAAAGCACAGAGGATCCTAAAACAATAGGGCCCAGGAATCTTCTTTCTGCCCTAGTAAGACCAGGTAGCACAAATGCAATAATTTCATAGAGGATCACAGGGCTCCCAAGAAGAAGACCACAATATCCTGAAACCTGAAGCACACAGTAGATTCTGTTAGCAGTCTAGCAAGCTTATGCAATGTTTAGGCTTAAGATAAAACAGTATAGGGAGGCCCAAAATGTTGTTACATAAGCATTTCTCTTACGGTTATACGAGAGAATCCAGAGTTTCAATAGAGATTCTACGTTGTAAGGGTAACTCTAAGGTAATCAATAAGGCTTTAAAGTATAACCTGAACTGATTTAGCTGCTCCAGATTCGAAAGCTGACAATTCTTACTCATCCATCAAAAAGAAAATCTAGACAGAAGTATTGAGTATTTATTTTTTTTCCTGAGTAACCTGCTCAGGCAGGATTTAAAGACAGGAACACGTCATCTACAACAAGTCTATTACTCCTTACCCCATCTTGTCTGCCTGCCTTTGCCCATCACTGGAACAATTACAAAGCTAAGTTTTTTGCACCAGAACCAGAACCAGCAACAGCAGTTGCAATCATGCTCCTATGGGTAAAATCACTTGATACTTGATGGTTCTAAATTGAGAGTGCTACGTAGGAAAGCTAAAAGCTTTTAATTAATTTCTGATCTTTTCTGATCATGTATCCCAGTAAAATCATCAATTCTCTCTTCTAAATTTCTAATTATATCAGATCTATCCTATGGGGCAACATTTGGAAACCTCAATCCAGAATGCAGATATATGCTTTTGTTTGAGTTTTAGAGTCTTTTAACTTTTAGACTTAATGGTCAAAGATATTCTGTCAATCAGATAGCCTTATCCCTTATTATAAGCAGCAGTTAATTTCTCATGGTAACAAGTTTTCCAACCTTTAATGTAGTGAAGAAGAACTCCCCCGGAGCTAGTTGCAGGAAACGAACACCTTGCTCTTTAACTGGGTTTTCAAGGATCATAACTAGATCTTTAGAGAAAGCAAAACAGCCCAAAATAGCAGCCCCAACAGCCAAAACTGACACAAATATTCTTTGTCGAAGCTCCTCGAGGTGATCCCATATACTCATCTCTTTATCATCAGGTAGGTCATCTTTACTAGGGTAAAGAAATTCATAGATAGAGCTCTGTCCAACTTCTTGGCCAACATTCTGAAGTTCATCTGCCATGATACAAATCTACATTAGCTTGTATCAAAAATGAAAAACGTATTACCTTTCAAAGGACAACATAGAGTTCACTAGGAAACAATAAATCTTTGAAATGCTCAGCTGAGCAGAATTAGAAGGAGAATATGTGGCACATCATCAACAATATGGTGACTTCACCAAATCATAAATGGCGAATATTAGATGGAGCATATGTGGCACATCATCAACAATAGGCTAGGCCATTTTTATTTTTATGGATACCTTTCATGAGATCATTAGAAATGAGTACAGAAAGACAGTCCCATATATCATATAATATACACACATATATATCATGACAACATTCCTTAATCCTATCATTATCTTTTATACTTACTATTGAATGTTCTTTAGAGATCTGTTTCTATCATTCCCTTTCCCTTGTAAATGGAGTTAAATTAAATTAAAGTAGAACTGAAGCTGGCTACACTCATTATCATCCCTTACAATTTCAGAGTGATGAAAAACTACACAATATTTAGATTGTTATTGCTGCATAACTCAATGTAATTTCTGTTATATGAAAAAACAACACTACTAAGATTCTTCTATTCAGAAACCTCTCTATTCTGTTAGGCACCAATGTTAAAAAGACAAAAGTTTTATTGTAGAAGCCAAGTGCTTTGTAAGAGTCCCATGATAGACATTATTTAAATGTTGGATAACCCTAGCAGTGATATGATTATGTGACATTCCAGAATACTGCATAAGATGTTAACAAATCAAACAAACATTTCCCCATGGCCTTTCGCCTCTGAAAGCGTCCTTGCCAAGCCCTCTATTCTATATCGGGCAAGGTGAAAGGCTACCCAGCTTCTTGTAAGCAAGGCAGAATCTTTACCTATTATCTTGGGAAAGCTAGAAAACAGATCTGTCGTTAAGTCCGGCTTGCATAACCGTCTTTCGGATAACTGTTAGTGTTAGTCGGTTAGCTCCTTTTTTCAGTTGCTGTAGTTGGTAGTAGCGATAAACACTCCTATATTTATTAAAGAAAGACTTAATGAAGTGAGCTTGGTACCGCGGAAAGCCTGTTCAAGGGGGTGGAGGAGAGAAGGGACTCCCCCAAGAGAGGCCCGAGCACAACGTCTTCATGAGTTAAGTGGAGTTATAGGCGACGAACTCAATGGAGTGAGTTATAGCGATCCTGCTACTGTGAAAAAAAGATGCTATACGTGCTAGTACTCAATTTCTTTGATTTGAATTTGATGAAGTGAAGACACTTATCGAGCCTCGTCCAGTCTTTCTATTCTTGTCAATCTTGGAAGTCGTGTAAGCCAACCATTGGTCCATTCCGAAAGCAGTTTCCCCCGTTCGAGAGTAAGAATCCTAGCCAGGCGAAGATCCACTGGATGTTAGGCGGAGTGGAAGCAGAACCAGAAAAGGCAGCAATTCCAGAGACGGTTGACCGAGCGGAGGCATCCGCCTTTCTTAGAGCAAAGCGATACCATAGTGAGCAGCTACTCATACTGTCATACACCATTATAAACTCCTATCATCCATCATTCACTACTCTTCGACCATGTCTATTTCGTGTTCTACTTACCAAAGCATTTTTCAAGCGTTCAACAAAATACTAGTTCTGCTCTATAATTTAAACCAAAAAAAGAAAAAAAAAAAAAAGGAAATCTTCACAGTTCACCATAAAAATTCATAAGAAGTTATTTCCTATAGCCCCCTATATCATTTTTCCACATTCTTACCTATTAATCATGCAATGAAATCCCTCGACTTAAAGCATAGATGCTTGAGAAAAACACCCAAAACTACTTCCAACACCACAAAAAACTTTTCATTCACTGGGTTGGCAGGTTTCAAACTCTGTCACCTAGATTTTCTTACAGCACAACCTTGGGTTAAGTCATACTCCGAAACATGAATTAACACTGATACATGAATCAAAACCATAAGCAGAAAATCCTTCTCTCCTATTTCAATATTTCTGTTTAAGACATCAATAATCCAATGCAAATATCCATTCTGCTATTTCATTGCAATAGCCATCTCTTTTACCTAGAGCCCTTTGACATATTTTATACTACAGCATAAGTTCTGTGGGGATAAGCCACACAAGAAGTTCGAATTTTCGCAATTCATATTCATATCATAGAAATAATAGTAGTAATTTTATCCATTCTGCTATTTCATTGCAATAGTCATCTACTTCACCTAGAGCCTTTTATACTATAGCACAAGTTCTGCGAGGATAAGCCACAAGAAGTTAGAATTATCACAATCTGCTTTAACTTTTGATTGAGTTGCATCTCTCATTCCATAATAGTAGTAATTTAGCTCATTAAGATAAGAAAAAAAATAAAATCCAAAACAAATTCATAATCCTTGACCAGGCAATCAATAAATAACAACAAAAACAATAAAAAAGAAGCAATTTCACATATAATATGAAATATTATGCAAATAATCAATTAGAAAATAAAATATATAAAATTGAAATATTCAGAAAATCAAAGGAGATGGGAAAAATACATACTGGGTTTATCTTCAAGAGTTGAAGTAAGACCAAGACTGGTAGAACCTTGATCATTTTCCTTCAAATCATCAACAGCAAAACAAACAGTTTTACCCCATTTTCTAGGAAATCTTGTAGCAGATAAACTGAAGGTTTGTTTGTGGGTAGTTATTTGCACGAATTCAGGAAAAAAGCGATGCTTAGAATTGAGAGGAAGAGAATTCAAGCAGCAGCAGCTGGTGCTGCTACTGGTGGTGTTGAGATGTAATCGAGACATTAGAGCACCGCCACCCATGCTCATCGGAGTCACTAAAATATATGGAGATGATATGTTCAGGACTTGAGGCTAGGACTCTACCAGGACCTCATTGCCTAATTTCTTACCCCGTATTTCATTTCGCTTTTATTTCCTTTGCCCCTTAAAGATTATTCTATACCGATAATTTTGTAAGGATCTTGCTAACAAACGCTCCGGGTATTAGATAAGCATTTAAAATATTACCTAACTAGATTAGTCTCGTGTGATATACAATTTGAACAAATAAAATATTTTGAAAGGGGTACCTAAGGAAGAAAATTAAATCTAATATATATAAATAAAGTAGGCATTTTTGGAGAGCATTCGGAGCGCCACATAAGAAATATACTTATTTCGACCAATAAGAAGAAAGATTTGTATTTTATTTTTGAATTAAAAAATTATGTCGCCACCTAGATAAAAGTAACGAATTAGATTTGATTAGGGGTGGGACTTTTCAAACCGAACCGTGAAACCGCCCGTTACCGAACCGAACCATCACGGACCGATCCGTTTATAAACCGATAAATTTAAATCGAAAATCGAATTGAACTGTTCAATATCAAACCGAAACCGAATCGAACCGCTCTATGTCAACCCGTTACGGACCGTAAACCGATAACAAACCAAACTGCTCAAATCCGAACCGAAACGAAACCGAACCGAATTGTTTATAAACCCGATAATGACCCGAACCGTTGATAAACCGAAACCGTTTAAATCGTAAAAAAAAACCGTTTAAACAGAACCATTTGCAACCCGCTAACCGTTTAAACCGACCCGTTTATGAACCGAAACCGTTTAAACCGCAGGAAAAACTGTTTAAACCGAACCGTTATAATCCGCTAACCGTCTAAACTGAACTGCCATAACCCGTTAAACCGTTAAAATCGAACTGTTTTCGAATCGTAACCTGTTTAAACCGATCCGATTACAAACTGCTTAATTCAAATTGAATTATTTACAACCTAAATGGCTAAATACAATTAATGTTAATAAATATAGAATTATAGATCTAATCAAACGGCTTAGGTTTATACAAAGGTTTATATCACCTAGACCTAGTCCAACGGCATTATTAATGTCGTTTTAGATTACTTATTTATTTTAATTAATATCAAATGTAACATACTAGTATTATTATATATTTATATATATACATTATTTAACAATGGTAACAATAAATATAAATTTTAAAATAAATACAATAAACATTACTAAATGTAGATCTAATTAAACGACTTAGGTTTATACAACGGTTTATATCACCTAATCCAACGGCATTATTAATGTGAATATTGTCGTTTTAGATTACTTACAATTTTAATTAATATCAAATGTGAAATGTAACATACTAGTATTATTATATATATTATATATACTTTAATTTAACAAAGGTAACAATAAATATAAATTTAAAATAAATAACTTTAATTATTCCAAAAAAATACATGTCATCTACATTTTACATTAAAAATAAATAAGTTAAGGATTTACATTTTACATATGATCATAAATTATCCTAATAACAAAATTTAACCTAAAAAAACATTCCTAAAAACAAAAGGCAGCAGAATCTTGAAGCAGCAGCACAACCCCCAAGAGCAGAGGAAATAGCAGCAACAAGCAGGAACCAGCTCACGCAATAACAGATCAACAACTTATCAGAAGTAAGGAACAATATAAGCAGAAGGGACTCAGCAGGAACTAATTTTTGTTTTTCAAAATTGCTCTCAGATTTACGTTTATCGTATCATCACTGAGCAATGACTGTTTTAACTTAAAACTTGAAAAATGCTGCCAGCAAGTACGTATACATTGAAGTCTCAACATAAATGACAAGGGCAACGATGATTCAAGATAAATTAAAACAACAAGCATAAGAAACAACAGCAACAAAACTTATCATAAATTCATAACACAAAAGGCAGCAACAATACTAAAGCAACAACACAGCACCTCAAGCTGGCAGGAGGTAGGAACCAGCTCAGACAAGCAACAATATAGGCAGAAGCAACTCAGCAGGGACAACAACCAAAAGGCAAAAGCACTACCAGCAGCTCAAAATAAGTTCAAGCATGCATTGTCTCATGTGACTGACATATGTGCTTATCTTTGTCAATTTAGATTTCAAATGATAAGTTTCCTGTGAGTTATCTTTGACATTTTATCCTACCCCCCTAAATATGTCATTTTTAAGCAATGATGATATACTATTCTTTAACGACATTATTTTTCTGAGTTGCTTCCTGCTGCATTGTAATATACTGGATCAAAGTACTCAAGAATCAGGTTTATTGTATTGGTTCTGAATTTTTACTTCAAAAGTTTCAGAAATAAAAAAAGAAACCTTTCTGAAAGAACAGAGAAAATCATGATTTTGCAGTTTCTGTAAGGTCTATAACATGATAAATGTGCTAAGTAGTAGCTTACTGTAAGCCAATCATACAAGTATACTAACTTTAAGTACTAACTTTAAGGTTTAGCTTGGTTTCATCTCATGAATTCATTCTCTAAATATGCCCTATTGAGGGTTTGCACAATCAAAAAATGAATTTCCCGAACTCTCTGAAAGTATCTTAACTAAACCATTATCATGAAATATGTTTCCTACATTCTCAAGATACTTTACATATATTTTGTGATGTTTCTCATCCAAAGTACAAATGTACAATGTATTTTAAGCAGCACGTCCATTTCACTAGACTATATATGTTCATTTCCTGAGGTAATGGTAACAAACTAATAGAGGCCTGAGACAAACTAGGCCCATTTAATAAATGTTGGACTTGGGAAGAATGTACAAAGTATGACATTACTTGTAGTTTAGTTTCCAAAAAAACACACACACACACACACACAAACTAAACTAAACTAAACTTGAATATGAAAATCACTACTACAGTACTACTTCAATTCATACAAATATGTTTGTGATAATTAATTTACCTTCTCACTATAATTTTAACTGAATATTGTTAATTTATTAGATGTTTTAATAAGTAGGCAATTACAAATAAAAATGTTATAAAACTTGTTCGCGAGCTATTTCGAGAATTAATGTGTTCAACTTGTGAAAAATACTAGTCAAGTTTGAAGAATAATTTATGAATTAGATAGGCGACTAAGATCAAATTCATACACCCAAAAAAAAAAGTCAAATCAACCAACACAAGTACACAACACAACCATAATTCAATTCCCCTCCCTCTGAAAATCAAGATCTAGCGACTAAGATCAAATTCATACAAACAAAATTCATACCTTATATCGTCCGTGAGTAAAATATGAAAGATCTACAAAAAAAAAAAAAAGAAAAAAAAAAGCACAAATTATACATTGCAAAACAATAAATGAACAAAAGAACTAGAACTTTCAAAAAAAAAAAAAATCAGAAATTATAATTTACAAAATAATAAATGAAAAAACAGAACTTAGAAAAAAAAATAGGAACTTAGAAGTTTTCAACAAAAAAAAAAAATTCGGAACTTAGAATGAGAATGAAAAATACAAATACCTTATATCGTCCGTGAGTAGAATATGAGTATATGACAGTCTACAAAAAAAAAACAACATTAGAACTTCCAAAAAAAAAAAAAACAAAAATTAATCAATTATACATTGCAAACGAATCATTCGGAATAAATGAACAATTGAACAAAAGAATTAGACCTTCCAAAAAAAAATCTGAAATTTTAAGAATAAATGAAAATATCAGATGAGGAAATGAGAGTTTCAGAGGCGTGAGAAAGCTTAAGAGATTCAGATGAAGAGGGAGATAGCTTAGGAGGTTAGGAGAGAGAGAGAGAGATGCTTGAGAATATCAGATGAGGAAATGAGGTGTGTTGTGTGCTGGTGTGTTGTGTGTGTTTTAGCTTTAGGTTTTACTTCTTCCCCTAATCTAACCGTCCATTTTCAATCTCAGCATCTCACCGTTCATTTTTTTTTGGTAGTAATAAAGGATCTAGAATGTTCGTGCTTGATCCAACGGTCTTAATTTTTGATTTTTTTTTTGTTTTTCGAGTCTTTTTGACCGTTCCTTTTTTTTAAAAAAAAATATTATTATTAATTATTTATTATTATTATTATTATTAATAGTATTATTATTGTTAGAATGTTAGTATAATTTTATGTTAATATTCTTATTATAAGTATTATTGTTATTATTATTATTATTATTATTATTATTATTATTACTATTATTATTATTATCATTATTATTATTATTATTATTATTATTATTATTATTATTATTATTATTATTATTATTATTATTATTATTATCACTTATAAATTGTAAGAAACGCAAATGAAACAAAATTGAAATTGATTCAATATGACATATTTAATGTACATCAATATCTAACATCTCTATGTATAACTATATATATGAATATATCTGTGAGTCTGTGACTTTAAATGTAATAAACTAATAACTTAATAAGTAATAAGACTAATAAGTAATAACTAATAACTAATAAGTAATAAGTAGTAACTAATAAAGTAATGAAATCTAACTGTTGTTTTTCATGGGCATTCAATCTAACCGTTGTATATTTGACTATTTGACTATTTGTACATTAGTATTGCATAATGATTTCATCACCACTTTAGTGATTTTGTCGTTTCGTCCATTTAACTTATCAAGTTGTTTGAGTTAGTAATCTAAATAAAGTACCAAACTAAATAACTAATCCATTTAATCTCGTGTAACTTATAAATTATAAGAAATGCAAATGTTTGGAAATTGAAATTGATTCAATACGATATTGTTAATGTATATGTATTATGTATATCATGTGGTAGTATGGTACAAATGTACGATTGGTATCATACTATCATTGCCTCATGGCCTCATTGAATCATTGGTATGTAAGTATGTAACTATGTACGTATAATCGATAAACATATATGTTAAAACTTAAAAATTTTAGAACACTTGTTAATCGATCTAATTGAGTACTTGTACTTCCTTAATTATCGATTTATCGTATTCTAAGTATCAACTAATTAAATCATGGTCATGATGTGATCTTTAAAACAATCATGAATTCATGACCCAAACCGCTTATAAACCGAACCGGCATGATCCGAACCGTTTATAAACCGAACCGGCATGATCCGTACCGTTTATAAACCGAACCAACAGTGACCCAGGTAAACCCGCCCCTAAACCGACCCGTTTAAAATCAAACCGGCACGATCCAAAATGTTTGTAAACCGAACCGACATCAACCTGGGTAAACCCGCCCCCTAAACCGACCCGTTTTAAACTGAACCGGCATGATCCGAATTGTTTATTAACCGACCCGCTTATGACCCAAATCGAATTTAAACCGTAAAGAAATAAACCGAAACCGAACTGACCCGTGACTAACCCAAACCGAACTGAACCGACCTGTCAGATAAATCAAACCGTTTCAACCCGAACCGCTCCAAACCGAAACCGACTCGCACCGAGGTCAAACCGAACCGCCAAACCGAAGTCCCACCCCTAGATTTGATATATCTAAAATTTTAATGCCACGTAGATTATAATCCACAAATTAAATTATTTTAATGGACAAAAAATAAAGTAAAAATATAGGAAAAGATAAATTTATTAATTTAATAGTATAAGAAACCCAAAAAAAATATAATAAACATTATTTAAATGATAAACGCTTATAATAAAGTTTGATACCTATCATTATAAGATAAATTTTGATAGTATTTATGATAAAAAATACAAATTGTTCGTTAATTATAATTAAATTAAAATTTGTGATACCTACCATTATAAATTGACATATCATACGACACCAAACAAAATTTCGTATCAATAAAAAACCCTATCAAGCGAATTTTGTGTTAGTAATTTTGTGTTAATTTTTGGTCATCAATGGCCGGGTAATTTTTAGCTTAATTTTTAAAATCCTATGTTTAAATTAGTATTTTTAATTATTACTTACATTGTATTAATTTGGGATACTCAATGATTTTACGTTTATGTTTTATTTTTGGTCAACAATATCCGGGTAATTTCTAAAATCTTATGTTTAAATTTATATTTGTAATTATTAGTTACATTGTATTTATTTAGGATACTTAACAGTTATTTGTTTATGTAATGGCATACGATTAGATGTTGTATACTTAATATATGGATGACTTTGGTTATTTTTGGAGATGATGAAAAATATCCTATGCATAGATTTGATTTTATATCGCAACAATTTTTCATTTATTGGTAAATATATTGATTTATTTTATATAAATGTCAAGATTTATTTATATCAATTTCAGTTTGTCTAGCATTTCACGGTTCAATTTATCCATTGATGTAGTAGGTTGGTTGTGAACGAGGTTGGTGATTCTATCGAAAAAGATATCTATCAAAATAAAAGATATGGTAAAACAATGAATAATGATTTAGGATTTAAATTATTAAAAATTTATCATTTCACATTAAATATTTTATATAGTGGCAAAAATATCATATTTACAATTTATTTGTATTTAATAAATTCATTATAAATTATATTAAAAAAATAAATAAATATTAAACTTTTGTAATTTTGTGTAAAATTATTAAATACAATAAATCAAATAATTAAAAATCTTAGATGAAAAAACCGTGCATCGCACAGGATTCTATCTAGTTTTACTAGATGAAGCCCGTGCGATGCACGGTTTATTTGTATTTTTCAAATAAAATATTTTACTAAATATATATTTATCTAATAAACTTTGTGATATTCGCTTGCTTACTACTTGAATTTCTTATTATAAAATAAATTATTAACTTTTTTTTCTTCTCATATTTAGATAAAATTCGTAATATAAATAGATAATATTTTATTTTACAAAGTTTCGTATGTGGCTGGTCACACCGTGTGGTCGGGATTACTTGGCCAGCAGTTACTTGGTTGATCAAGGGTTACTTAATCGATCAGGGGTTATTCGGTCAGTATTTGGGTGTGTCTCATCCAGCCAAACGATATGACTAGCCACACGAAAAACGCGCTAAATTTATTTTTATAATTAATATAAAACTTTTGATCTAAAATAAATTGCAATTCTTTTTTTTCATTGGCTAAAATATAACATTTTCCTATGTGATGCTCTAAAATTAATCTTACATGGCATAATCTATTGTAGCATTTTAAAATAATTAATCATACGTGACGCTTTTTTATTATAATCCTACGTAGCGCTTTAAAAAAACTAATCTTACGTGGCATAATCTGATTGTAGCGTTTCAAAAATATTAATCCAAAGTGGCACTCTAATAATTTTTTAAAAAATAAAATCCTAGATGGCACTCTAAAAACTCGGGAAAAAACTCCCCTTTATATATATATACATACATACATACATACATACATACATATACATATACATATATATATATATATATATATATATATATATATATATATATTAGATTGTTAGAGAGAATAGACTGTTTTTTCGGAAATTGATACTAACAAGCAGAATTATAATTAAAAAAAAAATCATAAAATGATGACATCATTTATAGTTTTGGGGGGAAAGTTGTAATGGCAACATGACATATGTCTAATATTAAGATATGATGTGTCTAATATTAGGATAGGATGATGTTAGCGGAAGCAAAACCCCTCAAATGATTTTTGAGTTTGTTTTGTCTCCTCTACAAATTTTTTCCCTCATGGTTCATTTTCTCTCTCCTCTAAAATTCATAGATCTTATTTTTTGTTGCTTATTTGTTATTTCAAATTTTAATTTAAAATCAGTTAAGTGAAATTTAAGCTGAATGAGATTGTTCATTGGCTGTTTAGGGGGCTTGAATGACCATTCAAGGAGATGGGAAGATGGATGGGTCAAGGTGGGGAAGGAGGGAGCTTGGGTGTGCGTTCGCTAGCAGAACCGTTCAAGGAGAAGGGAAAGGAATGGATCGAGGGGGGGTTGCTCGGCGATGGGTGAAAAAGATGAGTAAGGGTCGGGGTTTGGGGAGAGAGAAAGATTTTGATAAAGAACCAATTATAGAACGACACATCGATCATTAACCCAAAGAACTTTTTTTTTTCTTTTTCTTTTTCTATTTTGAGCATTAAATACATCCACATGCTTTGTACTTTCAATCATGAGCTTAAAAAAAAAAATCTAAATTTGCCTTAATTTCCGTAAAAAAATCCCAAATAGGCTTATAATAAAAGGACGGAGGGAGTATTAATTATGAAATTCTAATAGTTTCGTTAAATTTAATTAATTTTAAACTTTCGAAACTTACCTAAACCCATTGGATCGGAAGAATATTGGAATTTGATGGGGTTTGTAATCTTAGTTAATTACCTTTTGTGTTTAGGAATCAAATCAAGCAAATCGCGTGCATCTCCTAAAATCACCATTTTACAACCGTAAATGTAGGTTGTAAATTTGATACTTTGAATGTCCTATGATTCTATCCCAATCAATAATTTTCTACCAAAAAGAAATATATCACAATCATAATCATACCTTAATAATTTTAATAAACCATTTTGAGTTATCATAGCAATTACATAATCTATAATTTTGTATCAAATAATTTTACTTGGGGAAAACTAAGCTTATCTTTAACCTTTTACTATGATTATATACAGAAAGAAGATCTCGTTAAACCTTTTCCAAGTAAAGTAGGTCTTTAAGTCTTGTGATGAAATGTATGTGGAGATATTTTTTTTCCCCCTTCTTTTTCTTTTCTTTTTTAACTTAGATAATAATTTTCTGTACTTATCTTATCATTTAATGAATTTATGTATTAAATGTAATTTGTTTCACAAATTAGATTTGGTCTCGGATTTTCCTTTTAATGTTTGATTTTTAATACATATATTGATCAAATGTTTAAAATCAATATCTTTATAGAATTTGGATTTACCATACACATAGTTTCAACCCCCTGCACCTAGTTTTACACCTTAATCACCCGCACGAAATTCTAAATATACCTCTTTTCCATAAACCAGTTCCTATTCACTCTTAACAACTTTTCCATCTTAAGTCCTATTTCCCTCAAACTTCTCTCTCTAGAATCCATTTCACAACCAACAAAAAATAAAATAAAACATCACTCATATCAACCCATATAAATAAAATGGGACTTCAAGGCCAACTAATTGATGTCTCATCAAATTCAATCTCAATCTTGGTCTTAACTCTTATCATAACCTTTGTCAACCACTTCCTCTCACTCTTCACCCATTTTTGGAATTCCTTGGTTAGCTTTCTCTTTAACCATGATCGTGATCTAGAAACCACCGCCATAAATGACATCAACCTATCGACTCGGGGCTCGGGCCTCACCGACTTCATCATTTTATCTGACCAACTCAGCCTTAACAGTCGCAACTCTTACTGCCATCATTTTAGTTGTACTTCTATCGAAGACAATTGTACTGTCTGTTTAACTGGCTTTGAAGACGGGCAATTCATCCGACGATTATGTTGTAATCATGTATTCCATAAAAATTGCCTTGACCGTTGGATTGACCAAATGAAATTTACGTGCCCGCTTTGTCGATCACCTCTCGTCGTTAATTATGGTGTTTGTTTGGGTCCAATTTAGCCAAAATTGGGCCTGAGCACTAAATGATCCAATTAAAAGCCCAAGGTCAAGGTTCAACTCTCCAATTGCTCAAAAGTCAAAGGTCAGCCCACAAAGTAAGCCAATTGGGCTAAAGCCCAACCTCTCCATGTATGATGAGGTATAAAAGCCATCATATTGACACATTCACAAGGAGATTGATATTCCAATTCATATGCTCATTCTTGCATTCAGAAATATTCCACAAAAGCCTCAAGCTACAAACTCTCTTGCATAGTGTCTTCCTTTTACACATTGTACTGACTTTAGCATCGGAGGGGCCTTCCTCGGAAACACCCCCGAGGCTAGTTTACGTGTGTTCACTGTGCAGGAAACCTTCGGCCCAACACAACTTGGATCGAATCCAGTCTTCTCCATTTCAGCGGACCTTCGGCAAGGTCCCATTGTTTTCAACCGAAACAATTTGGCGCCGTCTGTGGGGAAGACTTTCAAAAATCTTTAAGCCAATTTCTTAGCAGCCATGGCTAAGAACCGCAAGAGCAAAAGCCTCCGTCAAGGAGCGGGCGAAAAGCCTAAAACCCCTACACCATCGCCCTCGCCGGACCGGAACTCTCCCAAGGGTGCCGGCTCGGGGGGAGGATCACACAAGGAGGATTCCCTATCTCCTATAATGCATGACTCTCAATATAGGCCGGACCACTCTCGGTCTAGCAGGGGTCAGTCTGATCATAGGACATATTCAGTGTCCCAAAGCCAACCATCGGCTGCACGACCTCATTACCACACTCGGCCGGGGACCCCTTTGACGGGGCCCAGTTCGGAAGAGGTGGCAAGAGCGCTGGCAGTACTCATGGAGGCAATGAGGGCACAGAATATGCCACCGCCTCGTGATCGAACTCCTCCGCATACCCGGCATCAGCGGAGGAAGTTAGACCATGACGGTGGGAAGCTTCCTTCCTTCCGGGAACTGGAAGAGTGGGAGGAGGATTCTTGGAAAAATGAAAAACAGAGGAAAAAGAACTCTCAATTATTTAAAGGATCCTCATCCTCAAGACCAGCAGCGCATAAGAGCAGCAGCTCAGCTTCTCGGCCAGAATCTACTCGCCGGGAACCTGAGACTGCTCGCAGAAGCGTCCTTGACCGACTCGGCGGCCAGGAACCGAGCGTGCGTAGTCGCCTCTCGTTCCCTGCAGCCGAGGCCCAGACTTCCCAGCCAGGGACGAAAACCACTCCTACCTCTCTAAGAGGGCGGAGCGCGGTCCCTTCGGCCAGGAACAAGGGCAAGGCCATTATGCTACCCGCTAGTTCACCATTCGAGCAATGGATACTGGAAGAGCGCGTACCCACGGTTAAAATACCGTCGCATATCACATATGACGGGACCACGGATCCGAAGGACCACGTGGCCTCGTATGAGACTCATATGCATCTTTGCCCCAGATCCGAGGCGACTTGGTGCAAATATTTCCCAACCACTCTCAAGGGGGTCGCGCAAGCGTGGATCTCCAAGGGAATAAGGCAAGGCTCCATAACAGGTTGGGATGATCTGTCCTCCAAGTTCAGGAGCAAGTTTTCCACGGCAAACCGCCGAGAGAAGACTACCGCAGAGCTCATGAGTCTGCAACAGGGGGAAACCGAAAGCCTCCGAGACTACCTGACCCGTTTCAGTAACGAGTCATCAAGCGTCTCCCAGCTGGACCAGGGGCTAGCTGTTTTTGCAATGCAGAATGGCCTTCAGCCAGGAAAATTCCTAGACTTCATGGTCATGCATACCCCGCAGACCTTGGAGGAAGCTCTTAGTGCTTCGGATAAGTTCATCCGAGCCGAAGAATGGAATAAAGCAAAAACCCAACCTCAATCCGGGGGAGGGAAACAGAGGCAAATACCCTTGTCTGAAGGCCAAGGCCATAAGGCAAAGGGAAAATCAAAGGCTCCGGAGCCATCTCCGGCCAACGACCTAAAGAAGGACAGGTTTGCCTCATACACAGGCAGATACGAGTCCTACACTCCGCTCTCTCTTCCACGCGCCAAAATTTACAGTGTGACGAAGGAGGAGCAGAGTTACCGAAAGCCGAGACCACTCCCAGAGTGGTATCAGCGAAAAAATAAAAATCAGTGGTGTGAGTTCCACGAGTCTTCGGGCCACAACACTGAGGAGTGTATCCAGCTGAAGGACCAGATAGAGGACATGGTCCGGAAGGGATACTTGAAAAAATACATCGCGGATCACCGCGAGAAAAAAGAATCCGAGAGGCTAGCAAAGGACCCTCGGCAGGACCTTGATTTCCCCCGGAAAAACAGTAAAAAACCGGAGGGGAAATTCCCTCCGATCAATGTTATCTCGGGAGGAATATACTCTCGGAGGGAGCACAAGCGTCACCTTAGAGCTTTAACTCACCAGGTGAACAACGCTGACATTCAATCTCCCCAGTCGCCGGTGCCGAACATGACGTTCACAGCCGCCGACTGCAGGGGGATTACGTTCCCTCACGAGGATCCGTTGGTGATCATCGCCACGGTGGCCAACCACGACGTCAGTAAGGTCCTTGTTGACGGTGGCAGCGGAGCAAACATTCTGTTCCGAAAGGCCTACAACCAAATTAAGCTGAAGCCCAAGCACCTTACGCCGGTACCCTATCCGGTATCCGGGTTCAATGGGGCTTCAACTTATCCAGATGGGAAGGTGACACTTCCTGTCACCATCGGTTGCGATGAGGCAGCCCGGAACGTCATGATTGAGTTTTTGGTCATCGACGCTCCTTCAGTGTACAACGTGATTTTGGGGAGACCCATAATTCACGAGATCCAAGGGGTCGTCTCAACTTATCATCAGCTGATGATTTACGTCTCAGACGCCGGCTTCCCCGAAAGGATACAGGGCAACCAAAAGGACGCCCGAAGGTGCAACTACCTCAAGCCATCCAATAGTCGCCCAGATGACGACAAGGATGAGGAGGAGAAAGAAAAAGAAAGAGAGCCAAACGCAAAAAAGCCGAAAGGCCTAAGTGCTTCGGCCCAAGGATCCGTGCCCAGAGAAAAAGGTCCCGAAAGGGAAAAGGTTGACTCTTCAGCTGAGCCGCAAGACTCAGAGAGCCAGCCGAAGAACACAAAGACTGGGACACCTGCTGACATTGGCAGCAGACCAGATTCTGAAGAGTCCAGTCCATCGGCAATGGACATGGACCAACAGACTGAAACAGTTGAGTTGGCCGAAGGAGATGCTGAGAAATGTGTAACAATCGGGATGGACCTTGATCCTGACACCCGTTGTGAACTTATTCAGCTCCTTCGGGATAACAGAGATGTGTTTGCTTTCTCGGCAGCTGATATGCCCGGGATAAGTTCAGACCTCATCTCCCATAAGCTTAATGTTGACCCAGCGTGTCGACCAGTTAAGCAAAAGAAGCGGAATTACTCCGCCAATAAGAACCGAGACATCGCAGCCGAAGTCAAAAAATTATTGGAGGCAGGATTCATTGAACCTTGCCAATATCCGGAATGGCTGGCAAATGTGGTGATGGTTCAGAAGCCCAATGGTACCTGGAGGATGTGCGTTGACTTCACGGACCTAAATAAGGCTTGTCCAAAGGATTTCTATCCCTTGCCAAGAATCGATCAGCTAGTCGATTCGACAAGTGGCCATGCCTTGCTTAGTTTCATGGACGCATTCTCGGGGTATCATCAGATCTTTATGCACCCCGACGATCGAGCCAAGACAGCATTCGTCACGAACGCTGGGGTGTATAATTACAAAATGATGCCCTTCGGATTGAAAAATGCGGGGGCAACCTATCAAAGGCTGGTGGATCAAGTTTTTGCCGATCAAAAGGGCCGAAACATGGAAGTCTATGTTGACGATTCGATCGTCAAAAGCAGAAAACTAGAGGACCATGTAAAGGACCTGGCTGAAACTTTCGCCACCTTGAGAAAGCATCAAATGAAGCTGAATCCGAAGAAGTGTGTCTTCGGCGTGAAGTCAGGGAAATTCCTGGGTTTCATGGTCAGCAAAAGGGGGATTGATGCCAATCCCTCTAAAGTCAAAGCGGCGCTCGACCTTCCTGAGCCGAAAACGAAGCGGGATGTTCAGCGGCTCACCGGAAGAATGGCAGCCCTCTCGAGGTTCATTTCCAGAGCTTCGGATAAGGGGTTACCCTTCTTCAAAGCCCTGAAACTCCCGAAAACAAAAGAGCTTGTTTGGGAGGAAGAGCAAAAAGACGCCTTTCAACAGCTTCGGGAGCATCTGGCTCAACTCCCAACGCTGGCTAGCCCAGTTGAAGGAGAAACTCTATACCTATATGTGGCCGTTAGCCCGGCCACCATCAGCGCAGTATTGCTGAGGGAAGAGAGTAAGAGTCAGCAACCGATTTATTTCGTCAGTCATACACTGACGGATGCCGAGACCCGCTATCCTCTACTCGAGAAAGTTGCTTTCGCGGTAGTAGTAGCTGCTCGGAAGCTGAGGCCCTATTTTGATTGCCATCAGATAGTGGTCTTAACTGATCAGCCATTGGAAAAAGTTCTTGGCAAGGTTGAAAAATCCGGTAGGCTAGCCAAGTGGGCTTTTGAGCTCACCGAATTCAGCATCAGCTACCGTCCGAGGGCTGCCATTAAGGCTCAAGCCCTGGCGGATTTCTTTGCCGAATGCTCATACCAAGAAGTGCTGGACAGTGAAAAGAAAGTCTGGACCGTGTTTACGGATGGGTCTTCCACCGAAAACGGTTCGGGGGCAGGAGTAGTGATAACTTCTCCCGAAGGCAAATCCTTTGAGTATGCACTAAAATTTTCTTTTAAGGCCTCGAACAATGAAGCCGAATATGAGGCAGCAATCGCCGGCCTACAATTATGCATCTCCTTGGAAGCCGATCATGTCTGCTTAAAAACAGACTCTCAGCTAGTTGCATATCAGATCAGTGGCAGCTATGAGGCCAAAGAGCCCTCCATGATAGCTTATCTTGCCAAGATCAAGTCAGTCATTGCAGAGCTGAAAACTTTTGAGGTTCAGCTGATCCCAAGGGGTCAGA